AGAAGCAGACTTACTCTGGTGGGCGGGGACTGTGACTAGCCCGTGTATCTGGTCTCCAGCCCTAGAAGAATGACACATGATTACATACCTAGGGGATAAGGATTAAAATATATAGTTCTCTCTTTCAATTTCCCCTTAAATATTTAAAACCAATGGCTCTATCTGTCCAACATACTTGATGAAGTTGCTATGAACAGGAAGAAAAGAACTCACTGAAAGCTGATTCTTACAGATCATCAGACTGAATGACTGAGTATTCATCATCATGACAGAAAGATTCCCAGCCATTAAGAATCCAGATAGCATCCACATCAGCTATTAATAATACATTAAAAATAATCCATGTTCCTGAGGCTTTGTACCATCACTGCTCACAGGGCTTTAGGTCACATTGTCCTTGTTGCCTGGGAACCTACCCTTAAACCAAAACCACAATACCAACAACCAGCTGGCTCACAAGGAGCTAGCTCAGACACCAAAGAACCCCTGACATTTGTTGTAACTTTCATCTCAGCTTTAGTATAGAAGTACATGATGATGACTAGGCAGCTCACACTGTTTATTTTGCTGTGTGCCTCACAGATCTCCAAACTCAACTGAGCAAGAACACGGCAAGAAAAAAAGACTCAAGCCAAAGCTTCATCTACCTACCCCCCTATGACTTTCTGAAAACAGCTCAGAGCAAATCCCCAGGGAAGGCTGCTTGACAGTGGCAAGCACACAGTAACAACTCCCCAAACTGGCCTCCCAGTCTGAAAAAAAAAAAGTGAGTTGGGAATGTTCAGAACCAGGGCCAAGATTTCTGTTCACACCTTTGAGCTCAGAGGTCTCAGCATCACAGCCTGAACTGACCAGACATGCTATTTCCAGCAGTGCCCAAACGTCTTTCCCGATTTGAGAGCAACCACGTAACTCACAAAACTGTAACTCCATTCTTCCCATACACCCTTGTGGCCTGCTCCCGAAAAAGAAGTTCAGCAACACTACTCTAGTGGCTTCAAAACATTATTCAGTGTATTCAGGTTTAAAAGACAGTTTCTCTGCAGTAAAGTCGCACGAAATGACACCGCCACCGTGTGGTCACGTACATAAAACCGTTAAGGGGTCAAACACAATCTTCATCCTTATGACTAAATACAATGCACTAAATCTCAAGTTTGTATTTTTCCTGTACCATCACAACTGTGATGAGTTAAGGAACAGACCACATTCTAGATGTTACAGCCTTAATGTAATTCCTTTTCCAGAAGTCATCAAATCAGGAAAAAGGAAACAAAAATCATCCTGAAGACTGGGGTGAAGCACATGGTTTCAATCTAACTTTAATTTAAGATTTATTTTTTCAAACTACCAGGAATCACATGGATTAGGGAGTCTAAATTTGGAAACTTAGATGCACAAGAAAGAAAAAAGAAAGGGATGAGAAATTTAGAGAAAAATTGACATTTCTTTTCTTTTACAACCTACACTAAATGCCTCAAATGTTCTTGTTGTACACAGGCATTTAGATTTCAAAAACCTGGTTAAAAGTTAACATTATAAAATTGATAACATTTACAAAAGGTCCTTTTTCATTCCAAATGAAAGTGAAAAGAAAAAATAGCAACTTGGCAGTCCAACTCCAAGAATTCCTGATGGGGTCATCCAAAAAATAAGGAAGTTAAATGGGTGCTTGGGGGCTGAGGGAGGATTAGCAATTAACTTTAGTTCACAGACATAAAGTGCACGGTATCTGTGAGAAAAATCAACTGTTAATAACAATATTAATATTTACCTTAGCTATAAGAAAAGTAATAGCCTTCAGAATCCAAGATCCTACTTGTACTGACTTTCAAAAGTTAGCCTGAAAGTTTCTGCTATAGTGATCTTGCAGGGGTTGCACACCTGCCTTATCTCAAAGCATATTAGGAATACCAGGAAAACAAAATGCCCCTTCATTCTGAATGCAGAGCACTCATTCATTTTACCCGTCAACCTAAAATCATGCCTTTTCAAATTATATTTTTCGGGTTCCTTTACTTTACTGATGTCTTGCAAATCAAAAACAGACACACCTGTTACCAATTTCACCAATAGCCTGAGAGAGTACAGATTCAAGCCTCTGTTGCTCTTAATTGCAAGTACTAGTTCATTCTTAAAATCTCCACATCCCAATTAAGTACTTAGAGTATCAATTATTTTAGGACAATTGTTTTTATTGGAATTTCTCACCTTCATTTGAGAAGTTGTCATACTAAACTATCCCTTTCTGACAAAAATGTCTTTAAAAGTTTTCTTTTCTATAGAATAGATTATAACCTCAAACTAAGAATCTTCTGAGGTATGATTAAAATATTTGTTAAAATGTCAAAGTCAGGAAAGAAAACAACCACAAGCCTTCCATTAACATACCTGACATTTCTTTCCCCTCAATGACAGCTCAGCCTGCCTTCGAGGGGATGCAGCAATTCCTTTCACTTCCAAATCCATGCAAGTTCAATGACAGCTTTCAGAACAAACTGAAAACCAGAAAAGGCTACTGAGAAAAGCATATTTTTTATATAAATACTTCTGGAAAAAAACCCCACGTTATTGCATTAGAAAGAATTTGGGTATTGTCTTCAGCAAGCTATGAAATGTTGCTGGCTTCCCTTTTTCACCACTTAATTTCAGTCTTTCCTTACTAATGCTTAACCAGATTCCTGTTCAAGTGTACGTCTTTGTCTCAATCTTAACTCCCTCTTTCCCTTACACTTCTTGATATCCTCTCATATGAGCATTACTAATTTGCTACCACTTCGCAACATCAAACCTTCACTTACAACTGCTGGCTCTCCTTCGCACCGTGCCCTGGGAACAGGTAATTTCAGAAAGACAAAAGGGCCCTCCCGACGCACAGCCAGCCTCCGAGAGCTCCAGAAAGCCACTTCATCTGCATGCCATCTCCTGCTCTGCTAGCTTCTCCTTCCACCCAGCCCGTTTTGAACCTAAAGCCCACCATTTAGTTCCCAGCAATCGGACGCTCCATTTCCAAACCATCCCCCACCGAAGGTGACCGCATCTCTAACTACATACAGTGTTTCAATCCCCAAGCGCCCACTCCTTCACCGAGCGGCGGCACGGCTGCAAGGCCTCCTTGCATGGACACAGCCGCTCGCTCCCCGCACAGCCTTCCAGCCATTCCCCCTCAGGGCATGCGGAACGCCCTCGCACGGCCTCCAGCCTCTCCTGAAATGGAGTATCCTCCCACCTGAAGGCACAGAGGGGAGAGAGCACTGTCGTACTTAATGGTTCACACGCCGAAATAACTTTTATCACAAACAAGAACGCTGTAAGAGGCGAAATAAACACCATGGGTTCAGCAGCTCCAAGGAAACGATGCGTTTTCCCAGGAGAGGCGCGGGGCACCAGGCGGCTCCCGCCGGGCTGTGTCTCACCGGAGCGGTCCCACCGCGCACAGCCGGCGGAGCGGGCCCGGCCCCCGCGCGTCTCCAGGGTGCCCGCGCCCCACCTGCCGCCGGGGGCGGGGGCCGATCCCAGCCACGCTTCGGGGGCACGTCGCCGGAATGGGGAAGCGGAATTCCCGATTGCTCCTGCGGAAATGCCCTGCCCGGGGCACGGCTGCGTGCCCGGCTCTCCCTGCCCGCCCTACCCCAGCGGCCCCCGCAGCCCTGCCGGGAAAGCCTGGCGCGTACACAGCGCACGGAGTCGTGTCCTTCACAAACCCCGGCAGCCGGAATCGGAGACTTCAAAATTGCAGCGAAAGGGCTCACGGTGCCCTGAGTCCGAAATACAGCGATTACCCCAAAGTAGTCCAAACCTTTTCGGATAAGGGCTCCAAGCACCAGCAGCACCCGAAGACTAGGGGAGATGAAAGCCACCACAGCGATGATTCAGTCACTGCCGCGGGCAGGGAAATCCTGCGGGAAAGGACACCAGCACAGTGCCTGGAAGGCAGCAGGACTGACCTGCATTCTGCAAACACTTCGGCAGCACAGCACGCCTGGCTCCCATTCCCTCATTCCCCTTGATCAATGGCTTTGAAATTAGTTTCAGTTCACTTTATTAGACATCTCAGAGAAAAAGCCTGTATGCAACTATGACTTTTTCAAACAGTTCCAGTTGTCCTGAATGACCAGACCAACATCAGGTAATTTAAAAAATTCAGTTGTGTCCAGGTACTACTTCTGATTCATCCGTTCTGTCTTGGGGAAAAAATCTGTGCCCCCTGGCTTTGTACTCCATCAGTTTTCCAAAGTTAGGCAAAATCTCACTGCAAAACTATTAGTACACTGACGCTAAGGATGTATTTCTGGCTGCTGCTACTTCCAAGCCTGTGTGATTCTGTTTTAGGACCAAAGACATACCATGTTTATACACCAGAATGAACAATTAATTCCATTCCAGTGAGTGACACAGTAAGGGATTTAGTTCCTTTAAGTACAGTACATTTCCTCCAGAAAAACAAATCCACATGCTATTTTCTTGTAAGAATAAGGATGGCAAAAGAGTTCAGGCATTATAACTGGCCTACTTAAAAGCTACGCAATTATAACACAGAAAATTTAATAGCTTTGTACTGTCAAACGTACCTCTAAGGCAATGCCTGTCATTAAAGGCTGGCAGTACCACAGGCATGTGTGTTAAGTGAACAAAAAAATAGTAAAAAATGAAGGTATGGACAAAAATTATTCTGGCAAAGGAAAACAAACGTTTTTCTTAACAATTACCTAAAAAGGCCACTATTGAGCTGGCATAATGTATTGAAAAAAGAACCCCCCATACCCACAGTTCTTGAATGATATGTAGCAATACCTCTGTTAATTCTGATGTAAGAAAAACTGTATTGCAATGAATCAAAAGGCGAGATTCTATTGTGTTAAAATAAACATGAAACGGTGACTAATGGGTTAATCAGTTACTAGACAGCTGCTGAGTTTAACCAGTGACAGGTATGGAAGGAATTAAGTGATCCAGGGTAATTCATTAGGGTTTAAATTGACATACAAAACTACACATAATTACCTAGGAGACTGCAAACTCAGATATAATTATTTTTACATAGTGTCCATAGCTAAATTTCTCTCTCCAAATAAACTTAACTATGAATTGATCTCAAAGACTTAACCCACAGTGCTTTCCGTACCACCCCAGAGAAATGTTTTCCACAAAGAGCTAAATTCACCACTGCATGCTCTTTAATGAACTCAAGAAAGTCACAGTTCAAGTGGCATCATGCTTACTAGTTATAAAACATTTATGAAACATCTCTACTTTATAGTCTCAATTAGAAGACATTCTAATATTTCAGTGAAGCATCAGATGTAATTACAGTGCATTATATACAGATTACAGAAATATTCTGATAGGGAAAAATAAATAGAAAAAAGTATGTAAACATCCTGAGTAAAATTCTGCTGCCACTGAAGTCAGTTACAGAATTGTCATAGATATGAGCACAGGCAGTATTTCACCGCTCTTTTTAAAGCATATAGCAGTGCATGTTAAGTTGATTTAAAATAGTTTAAAGTGCATACAACGTTATAAAAAAATGCAAAAGCTTTTAAAGTTTTACATATGCAGATTCCATTCATATATATTGCGTCTCCTCATTCCCATCACTTCTGATTCAGTGGCATCTTTGTTTATCATTTCTTGGTCTTCTACGATATCTGGCTCCAACTGATGTATTTCACATTCATCATGTAATTCATGCTCTTCTATTTTGTAATCATTACTATAATCTTCAAGCAAATCTTCATAACAATCATCTTCTCCGTTGTCTATTTCTTTCTCTTGAGAATGTTCAGCAAATGACTGAATGAGATCTTCAAGTTTCTCATTACAGATGTGGCCAAGATCTTGGAATACACAAAAAATAAGCAAAATGAATCTTTACTGGAAAGGCTCTAAACTTCAGGGTCAGTTTAGAAGTAGAATATTTTTTCTGTTTGTTTTTTTCTCTTTTATTAAGACTCAAATAACGCAAAAATTCCCCAAATTTCTAGTGAACCATTCTTAACATTTTTTTACTTGGGCTACTATGCAGCTCTTGGAAGTCTTCAATTGAAACTAATATACAATTTGCTGTTTAGTGTTTTATGCAAGCATTACCCACAGCCTCAGAGGTCCTCATTTGGGAATCCTCAGATTGAAGTTAGTCCAATACTAGCAGACTGCTTAGGAACTGACATTCAAAAAGCCTGTTTTAAAAAAGGAGAATGCGACTGTACGGTCCATTCCAGTTCAACGTCTTTTAGCACCTATTCTTAAAAAAATCATAATGTATCAAAAATTTAAAATTGGATATACCTCAAACAGGAAGAATGGTACTCCTCCAGAATAAAACTAATTCCACACAAACTACCTAAGGTGCAGGAGCTGAATATTATTATAGTAAGATCTATTTATTCTTTTAAAATATAAAATACTTAGTTATCTACCCATCTGACAATAAAAGTACCTTTCATCTTGTTTTCTGATTTATCCAATCCACTTTCTTTCATCAGTCGTCTAATTGATTGGAGCTGTGTCATTATTTCATCTTTCTGCTCACAAGCTAAGGCATTAACACTAGAAAAAAAGACAAATGTTAACAGCTGAAAGATTATCTTGGAAGTGAGTGCTTGATAAAAATGCACAAGACTGAAATACGTCCTTCCATGGATAAATACCATAGTTAACTTCGTGACACATTTAGGTCAAGCTTTCCTTGAAGAACTGTCTCTTGAGAAGTGGGGAGCCCATCACGTACACCTACTGAATAATCTAGTCACTGAATTCTAACATTGGAGCCCCAATGGCCAAGGCTGAGTAATGGACTACTGAAAGAAACAATTAACCAAAGTACAACAATGCCTAATACAGAACTTTTCAGTTTAGAGGCTCTTCTCATTTAATTCAGGCTTTCTTTGCTCTCCTGGCCATCACTACTAGGAATTTGTTAGGCAAATTGGTCAGTGGATTTGCTGTTTAACAGTTTCAGCACATATTAAGTTCGGAAGTACACTAAAGGAACAATCATGAAATTCTGCATGTTTTAACCTGAGTTTCATGAAGGATGTCAGTCCACAAAATGGACTGCATGGATATTTTTATTTCTAGTAGATGAGTAAGGCTCTAGCTTCTTAAGAAAAGAACTTCTCTAAAACTACAAGGAGTATATATTACTGATTCCCTTGTCACACTACAACAGAGAAGTTATATTTCACTGAAATACACACGCACTTTACAGGTTCATTTCAAAACACAAAAATAAGCAGCTATACCTTGGTAACTAATTTTTTCTTCTATTTGCATCTAAAGGAAGAAACTCTTTCTGCTACCAGAAATGTAATTCTCACAATGGCTTTCAAATGCTACTGAGATTAAGTATATTTTCAGTATTAGTCTCCTTGGTCAATATTAAAGTTTAACTCATTAAGCCACAGTAACACAATCGTAAGTCTGAACTTTTGCATTAATGTTTGGTGAACAAGAGATGGGAGGTGTCTGTAGGAAAGATCACAAACTGCAGAAGAGGTATTACCTGCAAAAGGCTACAGAAGCAGTAATTAATTAAAGAAGGTTCCTAAAAACTGTTCCTTACCATATATATATATGGATCATTTTAAGAATTTTGTTAACATTTTGGCAAATTTCAATTTACAGAAAACTACACTGAGAAGTTTCAGAAACACTCACCAGTTTGAAAGTGGATCCAACTGAGTCAATAAAGAATTTAACATTTTCTCTGTCTGTGCTAGATGCTGCTCCAGTTCTAAAAGCTGATGCTCTAATAAAAAAAAAAAGGAAAAAAATTTTTTAAAAAAGAAGGGAGGTGGGGAGAGGAGAAAAAAGGGAAAGAGGGGGGCAGGAGAGAGAACTTTGTTAGAAATGTCTTTACAATAGCAGAAGGATATTAATTTACATTTTGGTTGGGCAGATTCAAAAACAGGAAGTTTCTTTTATCTGTAAAATTATAGAATGTGAAAAGGGAGTGGTAGGGGTAAAAACAGAAGCCTTACTATGTGTGAGCAAAATCCTTCCCACCCAATAACCTATCTCCAATAGTCCCCAAACAGAGGACACCTTTATAGAAACTGAATGAGAATGTGAAGCTCACCTTCCCAGTCACAAAAATTATGTAGTTCCAAGACTTCCTGAGGTGTAAGTACTGTATTTATACTTAATATACAGTCATGAATTTCTCCACTCACACCTCACAAATATATTTAATGCTGAATGCACTAGAATCAAGAGGAGCAATTCTTCCTAAAGCTGTACTGAACTCTGAAGAAAGAAGAATCCAACACACAAGGGTGGTGAGTAGGCAGTGTAACAAATCACTGCTGAACCTGATTACAGACCTGGTGGACGGAGACACGGAAAGAGGCTGATAGTTGTTTAATTCACTAAAAATGGGTCTGTACAAGGGGGGCAAACATATGAAAACAGCTCAACTTTGATGTGCCATCAAATAATTATAACTTATTTAAACTGAAGAAAACCCAACAGATCTTAAGTGAGAAAAACATCAAACATTAAAAGACATAGAATCATACTATATTACTATAGCTGTTTTAAAGAGTATTACCATCTGCAGCATTTAAACAAACCTCAAACAAGTGTTTCAAATATATAGAATAACAAAGCGTTTTTTTGTAGGTTGCTAACTGCTCTTAAGTAACTTAAAAGATTGTTCTTATTCAGCTGGACAAAAACATGTAGCTTTGGTCCAGCAGGAAATAAGTGTATGAAAATATGTTTTCTGAAAGGGTATCTTACCCGTTTCCTTTGCCTTGTCTTCTGTACTTTTTTCCTTTTTGGAGTGACTTTCTTCATGTGACTTCATCTTAAATAAATACAGTGTTAAAAGTCTTCATCATTATTTGTGTATTAAGAACAAAAATGCATTTAAAAATTTACTGAAAGTAAACAGCGACCACAAAAACGTACTACAGTAATGAAACTTTTCTTCTGTGATGCCTGCTCCCTGTCTTAAACTAACGCTTCTGATTTTATGCAATGACAACATGACTGACAAAAGCTTCAAAAAAAAGCACTTGCTATTCCAACTTCGGTTTTCCCAAAGGAACAGAAGAAATCTTCTAGGTTACTGCATCCGTTCTCCTACCGTTAACTAGGAGATAAACTTCTTTCTTACAGTATAAACACGTTATTATAAAAATATTTATGTTTTAATCCGACAAGCCCAAGTGTAAAGAGTTGTAACCACCCAAAATAAGATTTTCATAATTTTTAAATATTAAACTGGGCATCCTCTACACTCATTTTGCTAAGCTGTGGTATTTTTCTCATATGTGAAATAAGAAACTGACTATGGAAATGAAGATGCCATCTCCAGTCCTATTCCTGTTCATTTTTATTTCCCCGGAAGGCAAGCAACAATATTCCAGGTGCACTCTCAGTATTGCAAGTGCTGTAGTATCTCTTCCTATAAATAATACATATCAAGACTGATTTTTTTTAAAAACAACTCATCACGTGTTCTCCTTTTTTAATTTACAAATGGTAGAAAAGGCATCCCATTACATAAAACGTATGTTGCAGATGCACGATCAAATGAGAAGTCCAAATAGAAGGTTGAGTCTAGTCGCTATTCTATCTAACTGCTAATCAAAGACAGTTGCTCTGCAGGAATTGTCCACTTCCTTCTCATACTCAATCTCATTATGAAGAATGAAAAAGAAGTGAAGTACTGATGAGGCTTAAGTTACAGCCTCAGGTAGCAGCACTGTTTAGGTTCTCAGATTCTTATTTGCGGCTGCAGGGTGGGTAAGATTCTCACTTCTTCAAGTGTCTAAAAATAGGTAAGTCAGAAGCCTTCATAAGTAAGAATGAGATACACTAAAATTTTAACTTTGGACTTCACATTCAAAGTCAAAGAGAGCAAGAAATGGCTTTCTGACACCCACATACATGGTCTCAGAATTGGAAAAACAAGCAAGCCAAGCAGTTACATTTCCTTCTAATTTCAATAATTTAATGCTTTTCCCATGGCTTACCTTAAGAAGTTTGTATGCTGCAAACATTCCCACTCCAAGAGCATACAACGGCATGAGGGTGAATGCTAACTCTCTACCATTTCCTCTTGTTGTCTCACTTTTTATCTCTTTTTCCATTGCATTTCTCATCTGTTGAATACTCTGGTAAATATTACTGTCAGAATTTCCTGGATTCCGATGAACTTGATAAACTGTCTGAGGACTACCTTAAAAATTAAATTGAGAGAAAAACAACAAAGTAAGAAAGGAAATTAAGAGTCCACAAATGCAATTAAATTGTCTTCTTCTTGTGTAATCATCTTTGTTCATCACTCTTTTAAGATAGTGTGGACAGCCCTGCATCCAAATAAAAAAATTAAAAATCACTCTTACATTAACAGGATGCACAGTTGAATCTAGGTAGCAAAGACTCTCAAACCAAGCTTGGTTTCTATGATATACAAGTTTTAAGTTTTTTCCTTCACAGCAACATTGGCAAACCTTCAGCAAACCACAGAAAGGTAGATGTAAAAAAGAAACTATTTAAGTCTTGAAAGTAAAGCAAATTCAGAGAAACTACTGATAATGCTGAAAACAGTTAGAAATTAGTATTTTTCCTCTAACAAAAGAAAGGAGTTATTTACAAACTGAATTGTCTGGTTGCAGAAAAAAAAAAGTTTTGTTGAAATACACATGGTGTGTTGCTGCCTTCACTATTTTGACAGTAAATTCAGTGTTACGTGGATATTCCCGCAGGCTTAGAAGTACTGTACCTCTGCAAATCAAATATTTAGCATGAAAAGATTACACAATAATAAAAACATGCAACCTTGGAAGCCTGCAGTATTTTTGCATGTAATTTGCCTGCCAGAACAAGGAGCAGATGAAAGCACAGCTAGCGTCATTGTTCAACTTAGGCATTAGGTTATTTGGTAGTTAAATCAGGGGTTCATAGGACAGTGCACATAAGAAACAGTACTATCAGCTGAAGAATGCAGATGCTTGCAGAGGCAGACAGCAGGTGTTTGAGAGATTGTGAAGTTTTACACTAATGTCTCAACTGACTGCCTAGACTTACACTTTCAAATTTAACTGAATATGGGTTTAACAAGATTCACATTCTATAAAAACCCCCAAACTAAAGACCATCATACAAATCACTTGCCAATTAATATTGTAACAGTGGCATTTAAAGAACTCACAGTAACAGAATTCAAGTGTGCAAGATACAGCCACAATCAGGTAGAGAAAAAAATTAAGTTACACCTACCAGTGAAACAGCTATTTGGCTACAGCTTCTGCTAGCTACAAGAGAAAAAAAATTAATCTAATTCTGATAACCTAAGCTGGTACTTTGTGATGAGAACTCGAACAGTGTTTATACTTGCCTAAAATTAGTTAGCCAGGAAAGTTATACATTTCCACTCATTTTTTTTCCCCTAAGTTCTGTTTGTTTTTAATGTAAAGGAGAAGTGTTACTAAAATACCTAATGTAACAGATGAAAAAAATTTCTGTAAGTTATACAAATGAATGTGGCAAGGGAAACACCTTGTGGGCACCAAGGAAGAATGTTGAATCCTAACGGAGTCCAGTGCCTTGCACCAAGTTTATTCCACAGAAGAAACAGCAAAGTGAGTTACTAGCCAAACAGGAGAAAAGAAGAGCCCAGACAGGTGAGAATAGGAGATCTGTCTCAAATTTATTTTACTCAGTGCTGGGCCAGTACATCAGCAGAATCGCAGGCATGTGAAGTGTTGCATTATTTTAAGGATTGTATTCAATCAGAGCTGGACAGATTTTATATGACTGTGCATATATTTTACTAACAGTAACACCTGGCTTCCTTACTGCACCTCTAACACGGGCAGGGAGTTTTTCCCTGTGACACCTCCCAGCTCCCCATCGGTCCGACTGTGCCCCTGTGGGCGCTTCTCGTCATACTGCCCCCATACGACACACTTCCCATTACTGGGTGTTTCCTGCATTTAAAAACAGTTTTCTTAAGACAGCACAGACGAAAATCAAAGCGTTGATGTACCAGAAAAGCAGACCACAGGAGGGGGTGGGGGATGTTCAAGGTGCACACAGGCCAGCTCGGAGCTGTCTGACCAGGCCTCCCCCTCCACAGGCCGTGTACAACCCCCGGCGCCTCCCGCCGGACGAGGGCACAGCCCCCTCGGTTCCCCGAGTTCCTTTCCAGCCGCCCGAGACCGGGGCGGCTCCTGCACGGAGCCCCGACGGCGGCGCGGCCCCGGGCACGGCCGCGGCTCCTACCTCTGCCGTGCTGCCGGGGATCGTAGTGGCCCGGAGCGGCCCTGCCGCCCCGCTGAGACCGGCCCGGCCGCCCGCCGCCTCCTCCCCCGAATATCCTGGGCATGACGACGAAGACGCAGAGCACCAGCACGGCCGAGACCACCACCTGCTGCACGGCCGACAGCACCATGGCCGCCTCCTGCCGCCTTCCTGCAGCCGAGCCGCTCCCGGCGCCCGGGACAGCCGCGCACAGCGACCCCCGGCGGCTCCCCGAGGCGCTCCAGCCGAACATGTCCACTTTCACCCCAAGGAATTTCTCCTTCGGGACAAGCCGACGTCCAGCAGCAGGACTGCTCCAGAAGAGTCAGGCTCTCCAACTAAAGCAAGGATATGAACTGCAGTATTGAGACTGAAGGGATTTCTGGTGGCGAGGATGAATCTTTTCTTGTGGTAGCTGAAACAAATTGCACTAGAAGGAGGAGGCAGCAGAATGAGTTACTGCCCAAGTATTGGCATGTTTACCTCATGAAGCATCTTTGTAAAATGTTGTGATGTGTATTTAAAGCTTTACCATAGGAGGACCAAATATTTATTCGTTTCCAGAGCCTCACTTAAAAATACTGAAAATATTTATACAGTCAAATCTATAGTATCTGTGTATTTTTATTTTGAATTAATTTCTAATAATCAAATAGAAATCCTTAATGACCTGTTCAGCAACAAAAAAAAAAAACCACACAAAACCAAAGTTTCATGTTTAATTAACATGACAGTAATTCCTTACCTGAAGGTAAAAGTGCATTTCAAACATATTTTCAGTTGCTAGCAAGTGCTCGTATGAAGTTAATTTTCAACAGTGAAAGGAGGAAAAACTTGTCCAATGAAATTAGTTCATATTTTTGTGCTGCAACAAGAAAAGTCAATTAAAATAAAACAGGTACTTTCCTAAATAAGGGAAAGCATTTCTTTATGAAATTCCAGTGTATGTGCTTTACTGCTGACTGGTTTTATCAGATTGTTTAAGACCTGGCTGTAACTTAACATTGCACAACTATTTCACCTTTCATGTTTTGCAGACTTGGGATGCAGCTTTGGCACATTCTGCAAGGGCACAGACAAATAAATGCATTTTTGAACATAACATATGCTTAAGTAAGAAACATCAATGCCATCCTAATTTCACACCTGTTGGAGAGAATATTTGGTTTAGAAGTCATGAAGCATAAAATGTTGCTGATGCCATTAAAATGTGGTATGATGAGGTCAGATTCTAAATTTTCACAGTGGAGAACTGTACTAAGGTTTGTGGTCATTACATTCGGGTAAGAGTTACCTTTAGTAAAATGTCCTGTATAGTGCCTGCCAGATACTATTTACAGCAGCGGCTGTAAATAATACAGAGTTGCACATGTGATCAGCAGCAACTGACAGCTTACTGTCTTTTTTAAGCTCAAAAAATTACTGTACTGCGTTACCCCAGCACTGGTTCACCTCAGTATCTTGTATAATAATGTGCTCTTCTTGTCCACAATAACTGACCTCAATGAAAGCCTCATTCCTCATTTTATTGTATCAGTACTACATGAACTTTATAAAATAATATTTTCCAGTTCGCTCACCAAGCCACACAGTTCAGAATTCTTTAAGTCTGGAGATGCTGTTGAAAGTAATCACAGTCATTGCAGAATGCCTGTGGGTATTCCTCAGTAGAAATGTTGGCAGAACAGAAAAATCCAGCCAAAGTAAATTGTATTCTTTACAAATCTCATAATAAAGAAAAAGAAAAAAAAGTTCATCAGCAACAAAATTTATTATTTGTGATTTTTCAGTGGTAATTCTGAGACACTTAATTCTGCTGAGACTTTAAAGCTTTCCTTTGAACACTTAATATTTTAAATTTAAGTATTCATTCCTGTGCTCAAAAAATAAGCTTTGCAGTAGAATTAGTTTCATCTATGAGCAAACACATAATATTTCACTGATCTAAAACAGATGATAATTTCAATGTCAAGTAGATCTTGTCTAGTAAAAGCAACTCCTAAATTTCTTATCTCAGTGTTCAAAGATGCTTAGACTGCCCTCTGTGTAAATGACAGATGAAAATACTGCACAGTGTAGTTAGAGAGAAACTGTTACCAGACACAATGGTAGCTGTGAGATTCTTTTTTAGTAGACTTTGGATTGTGAAATAAAAATACTTAAAGTTACCAGAATAATTTACAGAGCATTTTCTTTGCAGCTCTTTTTATATCTTTTCTCACTTTTTTCTCTTCAAGTGTTAATTCTTGTTTCCTGCCCCTGGTTCTGCCTGTAACAAACTCAAAAGCAAGACTGAAGGGTTTAAGTTTTGCTGTTTATTGGGCAATTAATCTTTAGAAGACTAGAACTAGAAAGTATCTTAGGACAGTATTTCTCTTTTTTTTTCTGTGACTCAATAACCTATAAAAATTACTTAGCAAGGTATTTTTTAAATTTTAATAATTGCAATTCAACCTTGTCTATATAGAATTCTGGAGGGTTTTGCACATCTCTCTTGGAGTAATGTTCACTTCTAAAGTTTCTTTCCTCTTTTTAATATTGCTTGCTCCTTTCTTGTTATATGTAGTTAAGTCATATCAAAAAGTTCATGCATTTCAGGCAATATTTCAGGGAAAATTACAAAGGAAACTAATCACTGAAAAAACAAGCAGAGTACATGAGTTAAACAATGAAAGTTTAAAAGTACCCATGTCATCAGAATTGATAAAGATTCAGGAGCTATTATGTTCTTGAAGGCTCAGACACAAAATTGAAAAGAGGTAACATTTATGAATCAAATGGATAGGCTGTGTAGACTTGTTAAAAGGGCCACAACACTGTCATCTCAAAATGGTGGAAATCTCAAAAATGTATGTGAAGGCCCTGGAAACGCTTAGTCCTTAATCCAGGAGTCAGATAACATCACATGAAACATTAAGATCCTTTCCAAAAAAAAAGGTTATGTTTGAAGAACACAACCGCTTCTTGCGGTTATAGTTGAAGAAGTGGAACTTGGGGGATGTTCGAGTCAGTTTGTGCATCTGAGGCCTGTACCCTTTGTATTGGAGAGATACTGAGACACTGAGTAAAGACACTATATCTGTATGTTTTCTAGAAGTGGAATGTATGATTATCCAGATCTTCTAGTATATAATTAAACACTTTTTACCTGAATTCAGTACAGTTTGGTTAGTCACGTGCAGAAGGTACAAGAAGAATCTCTCAAGAAAAAGCAGATGCCCAAACTGTAAGTAATAATAAACCATCTTCTCTTAAGTCTGGCACATAACACTTGTTAGTCTAAAAATATGCAGTGCCAAAGCTTTCAGACTTGAGTTTACAGGAGTACTCAACCAGATCACTTCAAAGTTACAGTGAAAGTATCTCCAGTCCAGTCACATACCTCCTCTGTTAACTGAGGCTGTTTACAGCCTCGTTATTACAAAATAATGGTAAAATTTTTTAGCTTTTAATAATTACAAAGTAGTTTATTACTAAATAATTTTTGTGGAAATCCAATGCCACCACCATCCTTTCACATAATCTGTCTTCTGCCCTGAGGTGACATTGACCTGAGGTGAATAGAAGCAGCAATGCATGCCAGAGTATTAGTTTATTCACAGGTCTGGAAGGCCAAGTGATCTTGCAGCTGCCTAATCCTGTGGACAGAATAAAAAAAAACAGCAGATCCACTCTATTTGTTCAGCTGAACCTAGTATAAATCGAGGTCAAACATTCTCTCCCCAGCACAAGTAACAATACTCTGTGGGGAAGTTGATGATTTGAGGACAAAATTAAGTGTAATTTTACAGATTCCCAAACATCTTGGATATATGTAATAGACTGTAATCCACCAGCTTTTAGTCCTCTGCCTGAATAGAACATTAGGGAAAAATTAATAATCTGACATTTTATTTTTCCAGGCATTTTAAACTGAAAGCAGGTGAGAGGTGAGAAAGTGGGATGTAAACATGGGGCATTTTTCAAAATCATGGGGCTGTACACCTTCCTGTCCATACCCAGCTCATTGTGCTAAATTTCACTTGAAATCTATGCAAGGACAAGAGATGCTTGTATTGTCCAGACAAATGTATTGTGATATCCAAATCCCAAAACCTAATTTTCAAGATCCACTGCTTAATGCTGGCAAAAGATAATTACTCTCTTTTGGAAAACATCATAGATGCTCAAGGGCAGGCTGGACTTCTGCTTTAATTACACATAGAATCACTAGATGGAGCCAGAGTCAGCCCTGCAGGAAGGCATTTTATAACCTAGAATACCCTGGACACGCCAAAATTTCCTACTGCATGAAGATCTCAGTTCATTTTTCAAGCACAAATTTTCAACCACATGTATATGTAACTACAAGATCACTGAACTGTTAAATTAATAGTTCAGTTTTAGTGTGATATTTTTTGTGTAAATTGCATGTAGTTGTAATATAGTAATGGTTTTAGATTAAGTCTAGCTGACCAAAGGCTTTAGATTCTCACAGACTGCATGGGTATTATTAGAAAAGAGAAAAGAGAGAAGAGAGGAGGGAAGGGGAGGGGGAGAGAGAGAAAATGTAATTTCTGGTTTCAAGGTAATTTTCAGTAGGAGAAATACTCACAAGCAGTTTCTGGTACAGAGAAACAGGTCAAGTGATTAGAGCTCTCTGTGCTGCAAGTGTGATGACCACCTTGGACTGGGGTTGTGACAGGGTGTGTGCTTCACCTCCTGCTTCTCTTTAATTGCCAAGGGAGATGAGTTTGAGGTGCTTCTTAAGGTCTCATGCATCTTTTCATCAAGGACATGACAGGACCAAAAGCACCTTGCACATAGCTTGCTGTGCCCGTGGAGAAAGGTAGAGTGGCCAGTCTACTCCCACTGACCACTTTGCCTTGCCCTTTTTAAAGCAGTTTAGAAAATTACGGTGATCTTATTGGAAGAATTTTAAAGCACAGGAAAGTATTGTAAATGAAAAGCAGATGCTAGTACATGTTCAGTTTCCTCTCTGTCCATCTCTCTTGTGCCTCTGAGGGCTGTTTATAAGTAAGGGCTGTGTTAAGCCTGTCCAGCAAGAATAATTGTAGGCAACCTTTTTATTTCTCCCTCAGAGGATCCAAAAACACCAGAAGCCCAAACACACACTTTTTTGCCTCCTATCGTAATGAAATAGGTCAACAAATCATGACAGGCCTAAGAGGAGAGTGTGGAGAGTTAGTAATGCATGGACATCCATAAACACATCCACACAGAGAAATATTTAATTATATGCCTGCTATTAATAGCCTAAATAGGTATAGCTGTGATGGTGATTGAGGACTACAGCTCCCTCAGCCTATCTGAATTAGGTGTACGGACTGTGACAAGACTCTCTGAAGCAAATCAAGGGTATTACTTAAGAGGGAAAAGCCATCATACAAATAGGGAAGGCAAGACCAGAATTATACTTTCCACAAGTGTTCAACAGGATAAGGCTTGACCTACAAAACTGAGCAGGGAATGAGACCCATTAACATATTTTACAATCCATTTGCAAGAAATTTTCTCCGTAAACCTACCTAAAACCATGTTACAAGACCTTAACCTATGCTCTTGCATGTTTGTACAATTTGGTTTAGGTTTGAAATAAAAAAAAAATCAACCAGCTCGTAGAACAGTTGGTGAGACAATACAAATTCCAACACATACCATCCTACAGCCCCAATAAGAGATCAGTCTTAGAATGTTATACTGGGAATGTTAACTGCTCTCCAGGAGCACAGAAAGCTCCTCTAGTGATTTCAGGCTAGCAGGTAACGGCAAATAGCTAAGGAAGGCCAGTATCAACACATACTCAAGCTTGGGATTTCCAAATTGTACTTTTGTTACACACCAAACCAGGTCAGGAGGTCTGTTTTGCAGCAAGCTGCTGTTCAGGAACCTTCTTTTTTCTCCTGCTGGAGCGCAGATTTTCTAATTCTGCTTATTCCTTGAGTAATTTTGACATGGAAGCAACGTCCTGCAACATAATTTTAACTAGGCTGATATGACTAAGCAATACTATTGGAAAATCAGCTGAACAGCAGATTTGTATTTTGTCAAAGCTACAATTTTATGGTTGATGCAGGTTTTAAGAAAGCTGTTCTGCAGCATCTCTTCAGATAAGACCTACAATCACACAATGGTTTGGCAGTCAACCAGGATGGAGCACACAAAGAAAAGGCAGAAGTATACTTGGAGTGTTGCTCCATGCTAATATGCATGGCAGATGCCTGTTTCATGCTTTACCCTTTGACAGCCAGCTATGATGTCAGATAGAGCTGTACTTGATGAAGCAATTTATATTCACTTCCTGCAATTTTGACACTTTCAAGTGCTTCCACAGCCAGAGGACAACCTCTGAAGAACTGCTTGCTGGTATCATCTCCACCTAAGATATTTTCCATATAAAAACTTATTAAAAAATTGAAGAATTATGACAATAACATTTTTATTTGCAGCATTGTTTTTATTGGATTTCTTCACTTGCTTTCATGCTTATCTACAATATCCCTTGCCTGACACAGAGGACGCAAAGTTCATTAGAGACTGTGTGAGAGCTCACAACGCATTTCAATCGAAAGTGAATCCAGCAGCCAGCAATATGTTTCACATGATGAGATGGTGCTTGTGATCTGCTTGAAGTTACTATAGATTGGGCTGCTGATTTAGCCCATCTTATTCTTCATTTGCATTGTGCTATTCTTTCCTTTCAGTTAATGATTTCTGTACTATATGTGTTCATTCTTTGCAAGAAATAGAAAAGACATTTTCACAGTATTGTTCAGTTTTAATAATGTGAAGGCAATTTCTTATTTAGCAAAAGATTGCTACTCTCAACTTCAGCCAGAGCAAAGGGCTGTATTGCAAAAAACAGTGTTCAGTTCAGTTCAGCTTTATCTACCTCTTTGTAAGAGAGATAGTAATCTGTTTTATGTCAGGTCAGGTTTCATACAGGGAAGCTGTTTGGTATTAAAAAGTGCCAGAGCAGGCAATCTGCAGAACAGGATTTGTTGGAAATCTATCATCTCCTGTTGTTTCTTCCAATCTAGAACATGTGTTGAATAAAGGGATTTGCCAAGACATCCATTTAGATACCTGATCTTCATTTGCTGTAGCAGGGTTTGAAGAGTAGGAATAGTAGTATCTGGGCTGGAAAGCAGAGCTTCCTGCAAATACAAAGGATATCAGAACAAGCTATGGGTCGGTCTCAGCTTGTTCAGTGGAATACATAAGGAAAAAGGTGTATAGCTAGCTGAGGGATGTAACCCCAGTCAGTTCATGTCATTTCTCCACGCCCTTCAGCAGTGCTGCATAGCTGGAAAGGACTGCGTGCGCAATATGAATCATTTCTATGAATGGAAGTTCACAGTAAAGGGGTAAAATTCAGAGTACCAGTGTTTTAATGTCTTGCCATTTTAAAAACAATGTTTAATTTAAAAAGCTACTGCACAAGAACAAACTTACTTGCTTAGACCAAAGATCCAGCACACCTGGAATAACAGCAGAACAAATATAGAGAAACCCCTTGAATCAAAGGTGTTCCATGATAGTTAAAAGCTCTTAATGGATTTTTTTGGACTGCAGTCCAGCTCTAAATATTTTAACAAGTCAGATACAATAGGACAGTGGATAGATACTGCGTGTCCTGCAATAACTAAGGCAGAAATAAGAAAAAAAATTGCTATGAGAGTAGGAATTTCAAGTCGGAGAAAGAAACCGAATGCAGGGAGGAAAGCAGAAAAGGGGAAAACAATCCTTACAAGTTTCTGTTTAAAAATGTTTGAATTCAGCTAAGTCACTGCAGCACAGGTTATAGTAAGTCTTCTCCCTTTTCTACAGTCCTGGGATGCTGCTTTAGCTAAGACTGCCAAAGCATGGGCAAAGAAGTGCAAGTTTAAACACAATACCAACTTTGAAATGCCAGGGAAGATTGACCCCTTCCCACTTGTTGGAGAAAACATCTGGACTGGCATAACCACCACCTTCTCTGTGGGTACAGCTCTCAGTGACTGGTTTAACGAAGTTAGCAGCTATGATTTCAGCACCAATAGCTGTACTGGCGTACGTGGTCACCACACTCAGGTGAGCCTTACGTGGCCAAGGGTTTATAATCTAATAGTTTCACTGAAAATCTGAATACAGGCTTGGAACAGAGTGCTTTGGAACAGGAATTACAGGAGGCCTTTTACCCCCCAGTTTATTGTTGCATGAGATTGGAAATAAATATTACAAATGCCAGGGTTTGTAATAAAAATTAATATTTGTAATTAAAAGAAATATTACGAAGCCCAAGTTCTATTTCCACTAACGGTGGAAAGGGGTTATCCCCTGACAATTTAATGTTTATAGGGGCACCAGATAGTAAATGCAAAAATGCCTGTCAGCTGCCCTTTGGGTTGTTGACGTTGGTCCTGTGTCAGATGTTTTACATTTCTATGAGATACTGCCCTTTTCCTTCCTCACTTAATGCTGTTGCTTTGTCAGTCTTCAAAAAGCGCATTATGTGCTTCCCTTTGTCCTGCAGGTCGTTTGGGCAGAGAGTTACAAAGTTGGCTGCGCAGTTCACTTCTGCAATACAGTTGAACATTTTTCACAAGTGTCTGAAGCAGCACACTTCATTTGTAATTATGGGCCAGCGTAAGTTAATTATTGCATTTGGGTTTTTTTTTAATTTTTTAAATATCCTATACATAAAAATATATATGAAGATTATAAATATTCTATAGCTGACCTATATCAGATGCCAGCAATGATGGGAGCAGCTGTAACAGATTTCAGAATAAGCTACAGCCTCATGTCACTGGTCTAAGGGAAACTTCCCCTAAGTTGCTAAGAATAGAAGCTGCTGGACTTAGCTGGACCTGCAGAATCCCTTTCTAGAAGAGCAGGAAAGCAGATCATAACTAATAGCACTCACCATAATGCAAATGGTGGAATAAAATCTGTTTTGACTTCAGTCTCTGCAGGAAAAGTGGTAAAGGTGCAAGCTTTCCGCTTGAGAAAGATTATTCATATGGCCCCATCCGAACTTCAAACAACACATTTTAGTTGAGGAAATAAAAGGAAGACAGTCCTCTAGTTTATCTTGTACCTTGCAATATTTTGATTTACCTTTTACAGGTTTTTTATAATCCAGGGACTAGAGGCAGAGTCTTGTATGTTTACACTGAATAAAACAGTATTGCCTGAGAAGTCTCATTAATTTCCAGTGGCGAGAGTCACCAGGTAACTGCTCCCCATGCTACTGAGAACTTTAATCTGATCTAAAAGGAATTTCAAACAATTGCAATGACCAGTTTTTTGATAAAGGGATTCCCTCACCCAAATACCTTTACAGTAACAGCTAATAAAATACCGTTCTGCTTTGCAGGGAGAATTACCCAAGAAAACCATACAACGCAGGACAACCATGCAGCGGATGTGGTAATGAGAAGTGTGTAGACAAGCTCTGTGGTAAGACCAAAGTGATCAACTACGAAAATTGCACAGAAATAAAAGTGGCATAATTAGTAGTGAAAATATAACAATGAGTCAATTTGCACTAAGTGCATAATGGGTCTGTAGCCCACTACACAGCAAAAATACCAAACCCTGGTAAGAATAGTATAAGAAGGAATTAATTGCAACACTTTGCTGTTGAAGGCTCTCAGAAGTAGAAGCCAGAGTTTCTGATGCAGGGAAGTATCAATTAGACTACTTTCTCTCTTTTGTCTGATCAGGAAGTCAAAGCTAAAACTTCAGCCCCAACAAATATTCACTGTCTGGTTCTTCTCTCCCAGCAGAAATAGGAAATGTAACTTCTGCTTTCTTGCTTATTTAGCATGTCCTAACACATTTTCCCAACAACTATACTTCTGAACCAATAATAAGATGATACTGAAAAGCATACATATTTCTAACTTCCACAATTTTCTAAAAAACAGAGCTTGTTTTTCCACAGCAGTCTGCAGCTGTAGACCGCTACGTCATTAAACCTAGTCCCAAATTAGTCAATGTTTTAAATAAACTGAGATGAAAGGACATGCAACAATGTCTTAAATCAAATACAAATTTTATACAGAGGTTTAATGGGGATGGATGGTCTTTACTAGACAGCTCTAGACAACTTCAGCTGTAGAAATTACTGAGCATTTGGTACTCTTATTTCCTTCCATGATATTCTGGCAGATTCAGCTTAAAGTCTCAGAGTGATGCATCACAGGGAAACTAGAAATATTTCAAAGACTAGAAGGAGGGAGAGGAGGAACAGAGCATTTAAAAATTAAGTGCTAGATCCTACAACCCATTTTACCATACTCTCCTATAGATCAAATGAGCAATTTCAATAGCATGCATGTAGGCAATCCACCAAATGCGTCAAAACTTCGGTAAAAATGTACTTCTGTGATAAATTTAGTAGTTATATTTCTCTGTCCATAACTACCTAAATTTGGTATGTGTAACAATTTTAAATAAATTCCTGATTTTGTTGTTATTTGATATTCCTTCATGCCCATGACACAAATTCTTCCTGATACAGCTGAGTTTTCTTTGCTTCTCATTCAATTCAATAAAAAATATGAGCTCCACACCAGTTGGGAACCTGCTCTTGTTGGCCTGCTTCCCCCTTGCAGGATGTTTTAGGCACTGACTGGCATCATCAGGGCAATCAGCCAGGCACCAGCAAAGGCTTACCTCTTTACATTACGAACTACCACTGAATGATACTCACATTTCTTTCCTCTTCTGATCTCTTTCCAGAAAATACAGACCAGGAGAAGCTGATAGGTATGTATAAAATTGTTCTTAATTGCTTTTCTATAAGTATGCCTAAGTTTGATGGGTCTTAACACCTGTTTCTTCACTGACTTTTAGATTATGCCAACTGGTATCTAGACTGGGATACACAGCCCCAGCTCCAGCCACTGCGGCCCTGCATCCCCAGTCCTCCTGTGCCAAAATACTTTCCACCTGCGGAGCATCCATGTTCCTCTTGTGACCAATTCTGTCTTAGTGTTTTAATTTTAAGGCCACTGTTTCTGGTACTGAGTGCTAGTGCTGCTCTTTTAGTACAACAGCGATTTCCACACACATTTTTTTTTGTTAGTAATAGTCAATTAAGATACTGATAGCGATCCTACCACTGTATTACTGTTAGACAATCGCACACATTTAAAAAAACCACTTGGTCATCTCTCCATTATCCCTGTGATGTTTATCCAGCATAGGAAAGGCTGCTTCCTTACTCAAGGCAAGATATAAGTGGCCATGCATAAAGTTAATATTATTAATTTATTGGCAATAGCTGCAACATGTTCCCATGTCTGTACAAGCCTCTTAGCTCTGACTCCAGGCTAGCTCACTGCTAGAGGGACCACATACACTATCTATTACTATATGTGCTAACAAGCCTCATGGAAACCTGGCCATCACAAAGGCATGTAATAACTCATCTCCATTAACCTTCAGTTATCCCAGACACAATTTTCCCCAGATAACAGAGATTTAACTGTATGTATTACTCTTTATGAACAGAAGTAAAGCTTGTCCTTTACTATACTTAGCCTACATGTGTCAGTGTCCATTAAAGTTACTGTAGTGTCAGTTGTACTGTTCTGTTCTTCTCTCCGAGTTAAGCTTTGTTCTCCATAGCTAGAAGAATACTAGGGGAAGTTGATGGAGCAAGGATTAAGGTGGGGTGTCAGTGGGGAGAGCTTAATTTTAGGATGTGAGATGGTGACAAAATCCTGACCTTTCAGGAAGGATTTGGGAAGATGGGGGGAGCAGGGAGGAAAACCTGAAACAGAAGATGAAATGGGTCCAGGGCAGATTCTGATTTAGAAATGGAAGATCTCAGCCTATTTTAAAAGCCCAAACCTTTGATGAATTCAGTTTAAGAGATATTTAGCCCTCGAACCCTATTGTTCCAATATGCATTTGTTAGTAAGGGAAACAAACCCATCTTTCAATCTAAGAGATACTAACCAATATTAGCAATGCATAATTGTGCTATCAATATTTAAAGCTGTTTCTCCTCCTTTATCTTTGTCCTAATGTTTTAAGAACACAGTGACTGAAATTCTAAGCCACATTGCAGCTCTGAACACTCATGGCATCCCGCAATAAAAATGAGCCCCAGCCAAGGTTCTTGTTAATATGTCCCTTGGGATGTGTTAGAATGAAACGACACTGAATGACTGATGTAAAGAAGGGTGGAAAGAAAGAAGGAAAGAGGAAGAAAGGGAGGAGGAAGGAAGGAAGTAAAGGGGAGGAAGGGAAAGGAAGAAAAAGAAAGAAAAGGAAGCGGCAGCTTTATTTTAGAACAATTTGATTGCAATGGAAAGGAGGTAGGTAGCTGTTTGGGTTATCTATAGAAATAAAACAATATAAAAGTATAAAAACATCACCAAGAAAATATGTAAGAAAAAGAAAGAAAGAAACAGCAACAGCCTTAACAGCATCTATTTTCATCAAAAGCAGAAAATTTAACCAAAACTCTTATGCAATCCGTAGTTATTGCTATGAAAAGGATGACTGGGGCCAAACAAACCATAACAAGAAAGCCCAAAGGACATGAGGGAAGCTTGCCCACCACAATTAAAGAAGAAAACAAGACAGAGGCATGGCTGCCACAACTTTGATGTGAACTTGTAGCTTAATTTCCTTATTCTCATAGCAACGTTCTCGAAATGATTCGTTTCCTCTGACTAATGCCATATTCAATTACCATGCCTAAGATAAGTCCAGCCCACAAGCCTCCAAAGCAAAACGCTGCTGGTGGAGCTAAAACCACCTCGTACAGCTGCAACACTCTGCCTCAAAGCTGGAAGACCAGATGCTGAAACGCATGACTGTAAGGAAAGGGTTAATCACATTTGCAGTATATGCCTTAGTAAGCGCTCGGTGGTGGAGCTTGCAAGAAACTTCACGGGCGCCTGAGCCCAAACCGCAAAAAGGAACTAAGTCTCAGTTCTGGCCCTGCGGGGGCAGGCTCGACACAGATACTCCTCACTGCAACGTTCCATTGTGATGTGTTACACAGCGAAGTGAATGACTGCACAAGCACAAGCAGTGGGGTCACACACAGGACACTTGGTTTAGGGGGTACTTGCCTCGTACGACTCCCACAGCAGACTCTCGACAACCTCCGCATTAGGACCCGACCGTGCGCGCTGCCCAAACCCCGGCAACCCTCGCAGCTCGTGCTACTGAGGCACTGAAACCACGCCCCCCCTCCCCTCCCATGCTAATGAGGGACTGGATAAAAGATACTTAGGGAGAGAACGGGCTGTAACTTTGCCACCGCTTAGAAGGCCGAGGTAGAAGGGCGGTGCTGGATCCACGGCAGTGACTTACTGCTTGCACCATCTATCTTCTCCCTCTCTCTCAATGACAAGCAGATTTTCTGCCTGTGTTCTGGCTTTACTGCTCTTCTGTCATTTCTCTGACTCCTATGAACCATCGACGTTGCCTGATATTGAAGATCCAAAGTTTATTGAGGAATGTGTGCAAACCCATAACAGATTCCGGTCTGGAGTGGATCCACCAGCCAGCAACATGCTCTACATGGTAAGGGGATCTTCATAACTTATGTCCAAGTGTGTAGCATTGTGATGGTGATTATTTTCTGATCAAATGCAAAAAATAAGAAAAAAAAAGGGAAAAAGGGAAAAAGCCAACCTCCTGGGGACATATGAGTGACTACTTTTTAAAGCAGAAGAAAAAAGCTCTGATTATCAGGTGGCTTTATGTGATCGGGTGTGTGTATGGTTTTGCCATGACTTAAATTCCTCATTCAAAACCCAGGATTTCAGCTCTCAACCTAACGCTGTTTTGTACTGTGAAATGCCTCCTCGTTCTGACACCTCACACAGCTCAACAGCCCAAGGTGTGATTTATGTACAGACCTAAGCACACCCTTTCATGCTTCAGTCGGCAAGGACAGAGACTGTGTTGCCAAACAACGCTTTCTCTGCAAGGCTCTCACCTGCTGAGCCAACAGAGCTGTTCCTTGGTGCTGGGGCTGCAGGGAAAGCCCAAAAGCAACAGGAGCAAGCGCTAGAGGCATCAGGTTCCAGGCTGCTCTGCCCCCTTCTTGCTCCCTGGACACATAAGGGAGTGATATCTGCAGCTACCATGCAAAAGACAGTCTTTCTTCTTGGGATAAGCTCCAGAGATCTCTCAAGTGGACCATAGCCATTATCCTAATTCTGATCTTTTGTTTTGCTCCTTTTCCATACCATCTCACATGATCATCACCAGAATAGGACATAACCACAACTGTAATTAGCAACACCCCAACTGACATTAAGAAAAAAAAGTTCATTTTCCATTTCTGGTTGTCAAACACTAAAAGACAAGTGACCACTAGGGAGGGGTAAGTGAGCAGTGGCCAAGCTTGGATTTCATACCTGCCAGGAAATAATTTAGTTTCTCTTCTAGATGCATCTTTTACTTCAGCTTTCTTCAGCTGGGCATGCTGAACTTCCAGTACATGTTGCTTTGGACTCTTATTTTCTGCGTTTCTTCACTGGCCCTACACCAACAAAACATTGTTAGATGTGTTAGAAGAGCAATATTCATCTTTTTAAATTGGACTTACTTTCTCCTTTTGAAAAAGTAAAGAACTGAAATCTGGGGGGAAAAAAAGCAGCTTAAGAAACAAATAAATAAATTACATCTAAAACAAAAACTAAATCATGGTAAGTTTCTTTTAAAACGTGGCAAAACCACTAGTCTTTAATATGACCTCTCCCAGGAACAATTTAATGTGAAGAAAGCAGTACAAGACATGATAAAATCTGTAATGAAAGTAAAAGCATTGGAATAGAAAACAGCATATTTCTTCACTTTTAGTGGCCTTTAGCACTTCAAAAAGGAGGAAAAGGAGATGGCTCCTTTATGTCACAGGGAGCTTCTGTTTGCTGTAGATAACTGCCCCCCTAGATATGTAAAAAGTAAGACCGTGAATTCAGGGCATTTCCATGTTTTGGAAAACTAGTTTCTAAAAGAAAATACAAGACAGAAATTCCTTTAACTGCAAGTAACAAAGCCCAACCATCAATATTTGTAATACATGTATTATAAAATGAGAATGTTGATCTGAAAATTTTTTACCTGACAAATGTGAGTCCTTTTTCACGTACCCAAAGCACGGCTTAGGTCTGTTCTGAGGCTCCTCAAAATCAGTACAAAGAGTCTCACCAGTTTCATCAGGACTTGACGACAGTCTCCTTTGACTTACTGCTGCTTTGCACCACTTTTCATATGTTATACATTTAATTTTTCCTCCCTAAATCAGCAAGCAACTCATTACGAAAACAAAACTGAGAAGTAGTTTGTGAGTGAAAATAACTGTAAGTACCGCTTCCTTAGACAGCAATGAGACATTCTTGTCCTGTGCATTTTTCCCTATGCTGTTTAGTCCAATCTTTTTGCATAAGTGCAGTATTATAAGCAAATAAGGAGTATAACTACAGTTAAACTGAAGATCATTCTGAACTGTCAGTTTCTGTACACTGCATTTCAACTGTCAGCCAAGTTAAGCATTCACACAAAAATGGAAAGTATATTTAAGCTTATTAACTTACCTTTATATATGTATACCTTTATGGAACTTTAAACTTTTTATAGGATGAAGGGGAAAAGAGATGTGTAGGCTCAACAGAATGTGAAAAAAAAGACCATGAAGCACTAAGGTGCATCCAAGACTATCATACATCTTTCATCATGATCTTGAAAGTTATCATCTAAGGAAACACCAACTGCTCACTTGAAATAAAAGCCCCTGCCCCAAGTTTACTTTTAATATTTGATATACTGATTTCCTAGGCAAATTATTTATGTGTTAGTTTTGTGGTTAGTATTTGGTTTGCACAGCGAGGTTTTGGTAGCAAGGAGGCTACAGGGTGGCTTCTGTGAAAAGCTGCCGGAAGCTTCACCCTTGTCCAACAGAGCCAATACCAGCCAGCTCCAAGAGTGACGTGCCACTGGCCAAGGCCAAGCCCATCAGCCACTGTGGTTGTGCCTCTGGGATAATACATTTAAGAAGGGAAAAAGCTGTTGTGCACAAGCAATTGCAGCCAGAGAAGAGAGGAATGAGAATATGTGAGGAGAACAACAACCCTACAGACACTAAGATCAGTGGAGAAGG